GAGCGAGAGAATATCTGCTGGAAGTCTTCTTCGAAAGATTTCCTTATCCTTAAAAAGAGGTACATGCTTATTTAAAAAAAAAAAAAAAAAGGTTTACAGGAAAAAACAATCCCTTTCTTTCAACTACATGTTGTTTTGTCTGAATAGAACTTTAGCAGCCATCTTGTGTCCAAGGGGGCAGTTAATGAGAATGTCAGGAAATGAGGGAAGAGGTCAGTATGCCCTTGATGTCGTCATGGAGGTACATAAGTAACCATCCTGGAACCAACCTACACTAGAACTCACTGTTCGTAATACATTGTTTTATTTCTAAAGTCATTTCGAGTGGTGATTTTGCTAATCTACAACCAAAAGCATTTCAAGTGATACAGAGACACAGAAAGGGATTGCCAAAAGAATAATGTGATAAACTTTCCCAAACTGTCATGCGTGAATTTCTAAACTTAAAGTGAACAGTGAGCATCTACCACAAAGATTTGTAAAATTTCACAATGTCAGAAACCCTAAAAACTTCTAAAGAGAAAAAAATATGGAGTAACATACAAAACATTGGGAATCAAAATGGCATTCAACAGCAACATTGGACTCTAGAAGAGGGCAGAGAATAAGCTTTCAAACTTTAGTGTGCACCAAAATCACCTTGAGAGTTTGTCAAAGCACAGACTGCAAGGACTCATGCACCCTCAACCCTCACCACCAGCATATCTGAATCTGAATCAGTAAGTCTGGGTGAAGTTAAAAAATCTACACTTTCAACAAGTTCCAACGTGATGCTGATGTTGCTGATCCAGGGACCAGATTTTAAGAATCATTACAATAGAAGAAGTCTTCAAAATTGTGAGCTAAAACTATTTCTAGCCTAGTATTCTAAACACAGCCCATTTACTAATCATGGATGACCGTATAATAGAGGTATTTTTAGACATGAAAGATTGCAAAATCCTTTCAATCCCATATGCTTTTTCTTAGGAAGCTACTGTGGGATGATGTGTTCTAGAAAACTGAAGGACTAAACTAAAAAAGAAAAAGACAGGAATTCAAATTGTATAAAAGGATACAATAAAGAAAAGAAACAAGGGTAATCCCCAGAAAAAAGGTAAAGAGAAGTTCCAAAACAACAGCTGTGAGTAGCAGGCCTAGGAAAGAACTAAAACAGATTGGAACAGGAAAAAAGGCTGTAGGAGGGATAATTCTAAGAAAAAACAAATAGAACACAAAGATTACCCAATATGTTTTAGGGTTTTAACAGACTGTGGATAAATTCGTAATATGTAAGCAGTAATATAAAGAATAACAAAAAGATGTACAAGAAAGGAAATAAGATAAATAAAATAAATTTTCCAAGAAGTAGAAAATTAATAATGTCAAATATTGAACAATCAAGAACATAACAAACCTTTTGGTCTGCATTTAGAACAAAAGAGATACAATATAATGCTGACTCAATAACAATAGCAGATTGGAACTTTAAGCTCCAACAGTAAATGGCTGAATCTTCCCCCTACTTGCCCAGACACTATTTTGGAAAATATATCCTAAACATGTCCTAGAACTTAGAAGGTGAAGGAAATATGATGGCCATAAATTTCCAGAACCTTGTTTTTGTACTTTAGTATTCCTCATATAACTTTGGCTCCTTCTAAAGGAACTTCTACTAACTCATCCTTCCAACAACATAA